ACACCAGTTACACCACATTTATTTACCTAGCTTACTTCCTCCTTATTTCTGAAACACATGTCGAGTGTAATTCACTCCTGCTAAATAGCTGGTGGAGCGACAGGAAGGTGTAGTGGATTTTACACCAGCCCAAACGAAAGGTATGGTGTGCATTGGTGTGGTTCATTCCTACACCAGTGGGACGAAAGTAAGAACCTTATGTTTCTATTTTTATAAAATACAAGTTATCTCTCTTACTTCCTATTGAATGTGTTGCACGTCTAAAGTCGAAAAATATATGTAATGATATATCAGTTTAATTAATTAGGTAATACATCTACTGTAATAAATGTTTAAATCGTTAAAGTTCAACCTTTTATACTTTTCAATCCAATAAATGTTATGTGCAAACTGCATTTTTATTTAAATAAGAGCCTACACTACTGGCATATGATCTGGAGCAACGAAGAAGAAATATTTTAAAGTAAGGCAAACCATCACTAGTGGGTGACCCCTGTGGATTTTTCGTAGTTGATTCGTACTCTACTTATTAATTTAATTATATTTTTATGATTGTCAAAATTCTAAACTTCTATCATTTTTTTAAAACTTGCCTATCTGATAGCTATACAGAATAAAAGTCAAAAAAAAAAATTAGCAATTTGGTTTTTTTAACCTGAATGGGTTAATATCATCAACAATAATAATGTTAAATTGTTATTAAAGACGTTGTTTGTTTACATTCAAAATTTCAAGAAACAAAAAATATTGAAATCCCCATAAATGTCAATATTTAGAAGAAGAAAAAAACGGTGACAAATACTTTGATTTGATGACTTTGAACCCATCAAGTAAGAAAAACATGAATTGTTTACCCATACGGCAGCTACAAATTGCCAAAATTATTTTCTGAAATTTCATATGTAGACAAACAAATAATATTCAACAATGCAATGTAAATTTTATTTACTTGACATTATTTATTATTTCTATTTCCGAGAATATGGTTGCTTATCAGCATATTATTATTTGGATGAACTCATAAAAATTTTATCATTTCTATTTTGACCTTTTATGAACTTTTAACATTCCCACAACCTCGATCCCAAGCAATTTTACAAAATTTCGGATTTTTCTTAAAATAGTGATGCTCAAAAAATGTTCCTAAAGTAGGCCAAGCCCGACAAAGACAGATGGAGGAATCATGTCCATGATTAAAGCCTTGGTTTCTTTAAACACTCCGTCGCGGTGAGCGGAAAGTCCGTCGACCGCTGAGGACAGCAATTTTCGCCCGAGGTGGTTTGTTAAAAAATATAGAAAATGATACTTTCTCTATGTCTGTACGTGCTGTTTATGTATTATGAATGTAAACGAAAGGTACTAAAATGGTTGCAAATAAATTGTTTGCGTTGTTATTATTGTTGGAAGAGGAAGAACAAAAGGAACTGTCAATTGCAACCGTCAAAGTTTCCAATAAGCCAGTGAATGAGTTGTTTTTGTGTCGCGATACACAAGGTGCCTTTAATATCACTGTTCAGCGGAGGCTTTTTGGAAATGAAACCAAATTTAGGGAGTATTTTAGACTTTCTACAGATCTTTTTGAATTCGTGTTGAGTTTTATAAATTCCAAGAAACCTAAAAATAAAGTCATGATGTCATCTGTATGTGTGAATTTGTCACTCATTGTTTTAAAATTAATAACAATAGTCTCCGCACACGCCGACGATTCCAGTGATATCAAACTCAACAGATATCAACCGACTCTTCGCGACAAATCAGCGGCATGACGCCGTCCTGTTCAGCTAAGCGGATTCAAGAAAACCATTCCCATTTAAATACTCTGGTTGGATAAAATCGACAAAACGCGACGGTTGACGGACTGTCCGCTCACCGCGACGAAGTGTTCAAAGAAACCAAGGCTTTATACATGTGTAAATTTTTCCTAAGGCCTACTTTAGAAACGTAATCATCCATCGCACATGACATTCAGGAAAGTAGAGGCAATGTTATGAACTAGTTCTTTTCATTCAAATGTGCATCATGATATGAACAAAATACCATAATCGTTCGTAAACATTCATGTTTCTCTCCAAATTATGGTCGAAAAAGCAATTGGGATAAGTAAAAATACTATACATAGAATAATAAAAGCATCAGGTTATCCTCCATTTAAATTGAATTTAATGCAAAAGTTGAGATCAAATTATTTTCAATGAAAACTTAATTTCATTACAAGTTTTAGAAGAAGAAAATCTGAATAAACCAATGTTATTCCTGATTTGTATAAACTCCATAGCTCAGCTACCATACTCATCTATTTTGGAAAAGATACAGACGAAATAAAGAATATTATAGAGCAAGATCTAATTCAAATTCTTGAGTGGTAAAGTTTCATAAATTAACTCTGAATAAGGTAAGTGCACCAATAATTGACAGTGTCCCACTAATTGGCACTTGTACAATTATTCTTCAAAATAAGAACATTAGACTATATATGAGAAATTTGTCCTAAACATCTGTATTATTAGAATATTTGGCAACCGTGTAACCTATGTAACGGATGTTAGGTTGCACCACGGTCAGTTACAAAATGGTGAAAAACGCACATGCAGCGATAGAGTGTTTATGTTAAGACATTTCATAAGGTCAGTATACCAAATTGAATATATATCTACTTCTCTTCACTTCATGTTAAATTTATTTAAACTATTCCTGGGGGTGTATTAAACAACACTGATGGGTTTTTACTGGTTTTTATGCATGTAAATCCTAAAACCTCAATTTTATTAAAGTATCAATAACTGGAACAAGCAGAACCAGTATGTTCCAGTTATTGACATACCCTGTCAATCACTGGTACACAAGCAAATACTGATCACTGTTGTCATACTGTCTAAAAAGTCTGCAATATACCATTTAAATATGAGACCTAACAGCCTTTTGGTTCCAGTCATTGACAGGGGTGTCAATTATTGATACAAGAAGGTCAATAACTCAAACAAACACATTTTTTCATTACAGTTATGGCACCTAAAAAAATTATACAGAGGCCCAGTTGGATGAAGCACTTACTGTAACTACAGCTGCTAAAACTTACTTTGTTCCAAGAACATTACTTTATAAATCAACATACCACCAAAATACCACATAAAAAGGATTCTGAGAAAAAGAGAAAACAAGAAGAACAACAAAACCGGGCAGAAGATAGAAAGCGAAAAAGGGAAGAAAAAAATATAAAAATACAAAACAAGTCTAAGTCAGTAAAGAGGGAAAGTTCTGACAATTCATCCGAAAATGAAGAATGGATAAAAAGTGGAGACAGTATTGATGTCAGTATCAATTTAGAAAATGAAGAAGAGAACGAAATACCAATCAAATACGATGACGTGTGATATTAAATTACTGTTTTTTTTTTAATTATTATTAGTTATTTTGTAGTAGTATTGTTATTATTATAACTAAGCAGGTAATGAATTTTCTTCTGTGATATATTAAAAAATTTGTACCTTGTAAGACCCACATAGTCTTAAGCTCTAGGTCTAAATATACCAAATTGTATTCGTTTTTATTAATAAACTTGATGGAACCTTAAATATACATGACTCTTTATTCTTTGGAGTGATGAAAGTCGCTTTCATAACAATGATATGACAAACAAACACAATCCTCATTACTGGTAAAATTAAAATACGCATTGGGTCTAAGAAGCACACTTTCAGATGGTTTGGGGAACTAACTTACCAAGAAAGCAATTTGCAATTTTATCAATAATTTGTCAAATTTCTGACCCTAGTTTGTTGTATTCTATTTATTGGGCATTGATTAGTCCTTACTTTTTACAAATGAACCCTAATCGGACAAGTTATTTTTTTTGCAAAATGAGCTGCCAGGTTTAATGGAAGATATTCCTCTAACTCTAAATGAAAGACTAGCCCAAATTTTACACTAAAAGCCCCCCCTCACATTCCACGAATTGTGACAAATTATCTAAACAGGCTGTATCCAAAGGGATAAGATTGGAAACAGAGGTCCCATTCTTTGGGTTGCCCATTCACCAGACCTGTCAATGCTTGATATTTTCTTTTAAAGAATTTTTTATACAAAATGTACCCTACTAACTTGGTAATCTAAGAGACATAATTCACCTATATTGCCAAACTAGCAGAGAAATTATAATTTCATCATGCAATAGAGCAGTAATTCACCATATGGAGAATGGTGGCACAATATGTGATCATTTTGTTAAATGAATGATTCATATTAGTTGTATTTATCTTTTGCGACCATCTAAGGTATATCATTCTCATTGTGTTATGTTTCATCTTATAACGTTCATTACCATTACTCATTGCTAGTAATAATCCATTATTTAGCATTCCTTTATTCAGCAACAACTATGTATGTAGTTTTTAACAATAATTGCAAAGTTTAGATTTTCTGATTAAAACAAAGAAAATCCCATGATTTCTTATTTTCTAGTCTTTCAATCAAAACTTCAGTAATTGATTTAATTAACACATTAGCACGAAACAAGTTCATTATCTTTACCCAGAAATGATTCCAATAACAAAATACCTAAATTCCCAAAGTACCTGCGTATTGTTTATTATTTTCTCGTTAAGGCCAAATTAAGTGGATTAATTCTACACTAAATAAGTTATGCAATTAGTTTATAAAAATTTAGTATTTCTCTAAATTCTCTTATCAACAAAAATTCAAAGTGGTAAACATTTCCTGGAATTTACAAATTTAAGATAAAAATGTATGAAGCAATGAATATTTCTTTTTTCATAATTCATAAGTAGTACACAAATGATGCTAAACATCGCTATTACATAAACAATGTGAACCAGGGGTATTTGATAATAACTTAGATAATAACATTCAGATTGTTATTGAAGTTTCAAAAGGAAAAATTAAGCAACTGTGACAATAAACGACCTATATTAAGTTCCTATCGATCTACAATCACTACAGTACAGTGCTACGATTTAAATTATATAGCTAAAATATATACTTACACTGGTTTGCTTTTAATAATAATAAACGACATGTTGCCAGGAGATGATGATATTATTATTATTATACTTTCTGTACACAACTGAACAAAAATTACACAGCTATTGTCTGATTAACTATTCTTTTCAAACACAAAGCTCCATCCAATCCATAAAGTGATAAATTATTAACAAAGGGACAAAGTAAAGACTGTATAGTAAAGTATATTAATTTATAAACATAACCTTTTAATAAATTTTGATTCATTTTTGACATCGTTGGTGTGGCTGACATTAAACAAACAGATGACAGAACACAGAATATTACCTTATAGTGCGGAGGATTACATACCTTTTTTTATTAAATTACAGTAGTCAGGTAGTAAATGTTAACTCTTTAAAGTTGATGACTTTTCAAGATTTTCCATAAAATAAACTATCAAGATAAAAAAAAACAAAACTTTATTAGATACTGCATGACAGTAAACTATAAAACAATACCAAAAATTTAAAGTAATCAAATACGTGACAAAATTTTACAAAAATTTAAACAGATCCACTGACAATTACTTTAATCTTGTTAAATGAGTATTGGCCAAGCCGATTAATATTCTATAAAAGGTTAGTTAATATTATCCAAAAATTCTTGCAACTCATCATAGGTGGGATCATTTTTTTCTATTCTTAAGTTTTTCATGTGACAATGCTTGCATTTTGGAACGGTTGGTGGTTCTTCAACCTCTACAAGTAGTCGGTTTGGTGTTACCTGTAAGTAGAATAAGGTAAGCAAAACACCGCAATTAATAGTCGATAATGCAACTTGAAAAAGTAAATAGAGTTTGACCTATAAAGAACTCATGATAACGAAAGTAGTTAATTATTTTTTCTTAAAATTATGTGATTTTCAGTGACATCAAACATAATTCTGGTTTTAATATATTCCAACAAAAGCATTTTTTTAAGTACCAATTTTTTTTAAAAAAATGTGGAAACGTTATGGCATTTTAATTAATTTTTCTACACCTTCAAGGAAAATTTAACAAATTACCTTTAGAGGAAGTTTCTTCTGCGTACGTCTAATTCGCGAATTGTGTGTAGGAGTAGAAAGCCTAGCTACGATCTTATCAACTTTTTTTGGTCTTTTAGGCAGCATTGGGGGCATTTCATACTGTACAACCGGCGAGTCAATTTTTGGAAATATAATTTTCTTTTTCGTCAGTTTTGGGTCAGTTTGGACACAATTACTTTGAGAATTGGTCAAGATGTCATTGAATTTTTGTGACTGTTGTTGAAGGTCTAACTTGAAGAAATCGGTAACGGGTGGCCCAGTTAAATAAGGCAAATCCAGTTGTTTGTAGAACGGAGATACCAATTGACGAATGTGGGCGCTTGAAAGCTTAGATAGTATGGGTTTGGGTGGAGGTTGGGCTAAAACAGATACATCTTTTTTTCGTTTACCGATGTTAAATTGTTCACATTCAGCAATTTCTGTGGGTTTTTCCCTTTGCAGCCTTGCTAAGCTAAATCTGTGTAGACTTGGCGATTGAGTATATTTTTCGGGGGAATGTGTTAATGGTTTGGCAATAACCGGACCAGGTTCAGTAAGTACCAAATTTTCTTGACTTTCTGATAATTGATATACTTTGATTGGTTGTCTGATAAATTTGTCTCGAGTTTGTGTCGAACATTCGTAGAGGTAATCTTCGTCTTCATCCTATAATGTTTAAGAAAATGTTCAATGATTTTTATTTAAAGATATTCCCTCTTGATTTTGGTCATTAGTTCCTAGAATAAAAAAATCCCTCTTCCCAAATAAAAAAAAAAATAAATGCACACTGTATAATCAACTTTGATATCCAATGCATACATACACATTATTCTTATCATTCCAAAAATTGTTGAAAATATATTAAACAGGATTAAAAGTAACTTTATAACAAATAACACAAACTTTATTTAACCATATTTTGAATAGAAATTAACAGTTACAATCAATATCACAAGTTAACGACATTATCAGATTATCACATTTTATATACTTATTTTCAATTTCAATATTTATATCTTGAAACTCCTTTCACCGATTTATGACCGACTTTTTATTTTCTCGCATTCTACAACAGTTTTGTTTGTTAAATTGACATCATCACGATGTTTGTATAAGTAGGAAAGCTCAAATGTGTCACTGCAACAGGTACTTGATTCTTTTCAAATACTTTGCTTCTCATCAATTTTAGCCTAGGGTATATGGGTATCTTGCTCGCCATATTCTTTTGTCGAATCACTTCATCAACACTGAAAAATATGAATATGAATTGAAAAAAAATTATCTTGTCACAAAGGATAATCCCTATGCTCCGACCCTGAGCTTTTTGTGTGTAAATATTAACAAATTTTTATATATTGAAAACGTCCGAATATTTTAATAGGGAGAAAAAAGTAGGTATTCAATATATTTATAAATCAAAAAAGCATGTTTTAGAGAGCTAAAACCTTCGAAGGTCAAATATTTATTATACAAACACATTGATTGGAAAATTGCAAACTGTAATATATTAATTTTCTATACTGCAATATCTATTAGTAAAAACAATTTGATTCGGACGTCTGAAATATTCATATTGATCTGACCTATGCTGTAGGCAACCCATTATGCAAATCAGTGTAATTCTAGTTGCCTAAAATTTCCTATCAGAGGCGTAACGGGCGTAAGGTTGTAACCTAATTTTAGTGATTTTACATTAATAAGTTGAGTTTGATTGAGATACAACCTTGATAATTAACATCCACTTCTTAGAATAAGGCAGTAAGTTACATACAATGTTACGGTAAGAAAGACTTTGTATCATAAAGAAAGACGTATATTTTGTATTGCTAGGTAGGCACATTACAAAAATATGCAAACAATGCTGTAACTCATTTTACAATCTTATAATGCTACATATTTTTCGAAATTACAATATTTGATGGAGGTAAAATGGCGTAACTTCCTTTTTAAGGCTGAAATAGTCCACGTAACTTGAAATACAACTTTTTTTTAACGATAGGAATGTCTAAAAAATGTATGATAAAATCAGTGATTGAAGGGTTTCGTCACACTAATGTAGCGCATTGTTGCTCATATTTTTTGAGTGGCCTGATAAAAAGGAAGAATCATAGATATTCGCTTACAAAGTTAGTCAAACGCGAATGTATGAATGTAAATGAATTAGAGTTGAAGGCCTTCAGCCAGCTCTTTTTAAATGACTACAACACTCCAACCTTCATTGCCTACTCGAAGGTATGGGGTGCTAATCAATTGCTATTGAAATGCTGATCATGCAGCGGAATAAGAAGCATGGGGGCGATGGACAGTTTAAACCGGTTCTGATCCAGTTCAGGGTGGGAACTTACTCAATTCGGGACTGTAAACTTGGCACGCAAAGTTAGGTGCGGAGCGTAATGATTTACCCTCATAAATTTATGGTAGAATATTTTTAGATGTTCTAAACAAATAATCATACCTAGTTGAACTTCTTTTAATAAAGCAGTTGACAGCAGATTTACTATTAGATACTGTTTGATCTGGAGGTATCAGTTTTTGTCTAATGAGACTTTTTTTAAGGCCATTGATGTGTCTCGTCGTTTCTTTCCACCAACATTTATAAACGTTTCGTTGAGTCGGGTTACAATCGCTTTTGGGACACGTCCTCAAATCTGGTATCGACTTGGCTTGTCGCAAAAACGCAAAGGTCGGTGCGGCTATCCTCCCGATCTGAAATAAGAAAGTTTTAATTTTAGGCCTTGTGTACAACGACTCTTTTACCTTACTAGATATCTAACAAAACAGTGTTCTTATTATCTATGGGCGGGAATGTGCTAGTTTTTAAAATCAGCTTCTCAAGCGTACTTTCAAATGATTATTCACATAACGCATAATATAATTTAAAAAAATTCAAGTCGCCGACTGTACGAAAAATTTATTTTAGTAAAATAGCTGCCATCACAAACTACTTATGTAAACCAATTCAACTTCACTAATTAAAGATATTCAAAATATATTTAAGGATACGAGCTAATGAAATAGAAAAAGTAATAAAGAAAAAAATATTTTTAAAGTAGGTGTTCGAAAAAAACAAGCATTTCTAATATTGGGTGCTATTCAGAAGAGCCGAATATTATCACGGGCATGACTCGTATGTCGTATGTCTTTGTCGATTATAGCCTACTTATTAGAAGCATTTTTTTTAGAACACACGTTATAATAATTGACTCTTTAAGCACTGACTTCACAATATAGGCAACCAACATTGCTACTGGCACAATAAATTGCCATTTTATACAAATGACATGAAAATAAAAGAAACCAGTTTAATTGTTTTAGCCTCAATTTATTCTGTTTTTGATCATTATTTACTAATACGAGAAACAAACTATTTCTACGTGTATGGCCCCGTCTAATCGCGTAATACATGGTCTAAATAATTTACAGTTTTTATGTTCATGTTCAAAATCATGGCCTTGGCATTTAGGTCCGTATTTATAAACAGAACTTATACCTGAATCGGACTTGGGTGAGTCGTCCTTGAACTAAAATCGAAGTTCGGTTTACAACGCCTCTAAAGTTCTAGGTGGTTCTGGTGTTAGATTGGAATTTAGAGATGGAAATTAGCAAATCTGTAATAACTGGTATCTACATTTACGGATTTATTACTACCCATCTCAAAATTCACGCGATATAACCGAACTTCGATTTTAGTTCAAGGACGACTTACCCAAGTCCGACTCATCTGAGTTTTGTTTATAAATACCTACCTTAAAGTGATTAAGGGCCGACACAGTTAAAGTAAAAATGTCACTTTAATCTTCGCTTAGTAATTTAAACTTCTTTTAACACAACAGTGGAATCGGCCCTAAATGTTTCCGTTATTAATATAAAGTGTTAATATAAACACAATTTTTCCAGTTTAATATTTATATGACAGCAGTAATACTGGTTGCCTAAATCGTGACGTCACATTAATCATATTTATATAGTATGTTAATAGTTACTTCTGATTCTCTGAATCTCTTCCCGGTATTTGATTGCTTTTCATCTTTTTCAATCTTCTTTCTTACGACTCGACTGGGTTTTGACTTAACATTAAGCGCATTCGATTGTGAACCGAAAAGCCCGCGTTGTTCCGCCATTTGTATCATATATTTATCGTCCAGGCGTATAACTTTCTAAAATTAAAGGTTTTAGTATTATTTATTCATATTTAGTAGGTAAGGATTTACGATAACGATGGCGGTACATTTATATATGTGGGTGTTACCACTGTATTAAGAAATGTTATATTACACTTGTCAATCTGAAATGGACCACATTAGTGTTTACTTCAGAATACTCAAAATTTACCCCAATGTATACAACCTACCATCCTTTACCTCAACACATGATATGAATTGAACCACAAAACATGTTTCTAAAGTAGCCCACGGAAAAAATTACACATTTCCGAGTATACATTGCTTCTTATTTTTTCAGGAGCATGGGAAATGACTCGCGTATTTCTTTGTCGATCATGGGTTACTTAAGAAACTTTTTTTGGGAAATTAGGTTGAAAATAAGTAAGAAAATATGGCTCCACATTTTATAGAATTATTAAATTACATACAATATTTAAGGGTCTCTATCGATGTCTCTATGTACTAGGGCTATTCATATTCTAATTTCACTGCCACTTATGATTTTTATTTAATTCTGTGAACTCAAAATAATTTAATTTGAAATCATTATTTTCCAATTCTTATTTACTAAGGCCCAAAAAGTCAAATTCAGCATGACTTTATGGACTTCACATATCGTCGGCTTACTGCCAAAATTGACCAAATCAGATAAACAAACTTTTGAGATAAACAGTTTTAAACTAGTGAAACAGTTAAACTAGTTTATACTAGTGACCTAAAATCAAATGTTATAAATACCTAAACTTTTTTTAAATTAGTTACTAGCTTAGTCAATTTTTTCAGATATAGAGTAAATAGTTTTAAGTGATTTGGTCGATAAAAACCAAAAATGAGATTTTTTTGACTTGTTTTTATTTAGTACTCAAGATAATTGAGAGATTATTAGAGGACTTGACAAGTAACCTGGATTGTGGATTTTGTAAACATTGTAAATTGTTTTTATTGAATCCCAACATATATTTTGGTCTAGTAAAATAATATTTCAATAACTGTCTCCAATTATAATGATAACCTTTTAACTTTTACCTGTAATGGGTCGCATTACGGCCGACAGTCGGGCCACAGTCATTTTGCAAACAATAACAGTTACAGGGTCATTTTGCCATCATTTACAGTCAATCAATTCAATTTCTTTTTTTGTAAAACTCGAACAAAAAAGTGGCTAAATAATTGGTAAGTGTTAATTTTAAAATCGGCTGATACTACTACAAAACAAGACTATTTTATTACCTACTTCCTATTAACCTGAGATTTCACCAAAACACTGACTTTATTGAAGAAAAAATTATAAAACTTAAAAGCAAGTATTCATAAAAAAATGTCTAAGGATTCTTCCTATTTTTTTTTCTTTTTTACTGTATTGATTTTGTATTTATAAATATCCAGCTACTTACAAAAAAATATTTCGAGAAGGTTTTATATTCGGTTGAAAACTGCACTTTCATCGATTATTTTCCAAAATCCATTTGCATTTTGTAGATATTCAAACTAATGAGCTCTTAAAAATCACAAACATATGAGATGGGCAAGTAACTGTCCCCCAGCGCAAGGCCAACATCAATTAATGATTGATGGCCCACAAACCTTAAAAATAAAATGGCCTTTCAAGATTTAGCCAACATGGCGATCTTTCCATCAATCGCGGCAAAGGGCCATCAATTTCCTGGCAGTTGATTGTTTGTTGGGATATATTGGGAATATTGAAACCGGAGCGTCCAGACAACACACCAAATCCCAGAGATATCCACAGAATATCTTTTGTGGATATCCAATATATCCACAGGATATCAGAAATATTCCGTGGATCTAATATGGATATCCAAATGTCCGTCTATATCCAGAATATAGAAGATATCCTATGGATTATCCAGCAAAATATCTAATAGGTATCTTCCAGACAATACAAGAAATCCCAGAGATATCCACAGAATATGTTTTGTGGATATCTAATATGGATATCCAACCAAATGTCCGTCTATATCCCAGAATATAGAAGAATTCGGATATTCAGCAAAATACTCTATGGGTATCTTTAGTAGAGGTTCATAAAAGTAACCAATGATTATTGAATAACGTCGAAAGAAAATAGCAGAGAAAAAATATTTTCAACACTCAAAATATTTTCAACACTCTGCCTTTGATTTTGACCACTAAGGAGAAAGTCATCCTTATTAGGACTCTTCAGCAATAAATGGAAATTCTCGACTCCAGTCTCTAATGGAGTCTGATTGGGAAACAAATTTCGATCGAACTCAATTACGGCGGGTTGAGCATGAGTAGATGTGAAAGTGGTATCGCCATCTATACTTAGTAAGCAAAATCAAAAATTACATCTAGTGGATATCCACGATGGTTTGCGTTCGCGCCTAGACTTTGATTATTTAGTGGATGTCCATGGGATATTGAATACACCTTAAAAAATTAATTTTAAATATCTGAACGGTACTATTAGCCACAATGGCGTAATTTTTTAATAATTTGCTATATAATTACTATCATTTATGGACATTTGCATGTCTATAAATTACATCTCATGGATATAAAATAGATATTCACCATGGACTTTACATTCAGTGGATATTGGGATGTTCAGTAAATATCCAAAGGATTTGGTGTGCTGTCTGGGCGTTTGTCAAATAAAACCATAAACATCAACAACAAACAGTACGAAATTAAATTCCGCATAGATTAGAACAAATTCTCACCAAATCTTCACTTTTAATAGTAAGTAATAGTACACTCTATACATTATGAAGTTCTTATAAAATATTTTTTATTTTTAACATAAAATTTGGAATCAGCAGCAAGTATAGAAAAAAATTGCTATTTTTGACAGCTGTTTTATATTAGCGATTTTAAATTTTTGAAATCAAATTTGGAGTCAGCAACCAAAAAAAAACCGTCTTATAATAAGTTTCATGTATTTTTTGAGAAAAATTTATAATTTTTGTTTGCCATTTTTATTTAGGCATTTTGAATTCTGAATTTTTGACATTAAAGTTCAAGTCAGCAGCCCAAAAATCCTCCTGTACAAAGTTTCATGCAATTTTAAGAACAATTTACAATTCCACTTTGAATTTAAGAAATCAGATTTGAAATTAGTGCTCCCAAAATCTTTCTCAATACCAAGTTCAAAGCATATAAATTAGAATTTTGAATTTTGGATACTTTTGAGTGTTTCCTGGCCCACTGTGGGGCGTTATACGTCACACTAATGTAGTCCATTTGGTAGGTACTACAGTACCTACGGTAAATATCTTATATTACTCATACTATCAAAATTTGTAAAATAAAATTAGGATATAGGTACCTTCCTTTTTAAAAGTGCCAAATAACACCCTGGACATGCGAATCCTCTGCAATTTTCATTGTCGCAGAGTAAGGGCAAGGTAGAGTTATCAAATATATCAGTATCAGGAACCTAGAAAAGGTTTCTTTTCAATTTAAACATTTCACACAAAATACCTATAAAAAGTGTCTAATTATAGAACATTACCACAATTATACTTACTTTAATCGAATCAAGAAACTTTTCTTGTTCATCCGTCATTTCTGATAATATTGTAACTCTGGACGGTGTTGTTAATATCGAATCACCAATATTTTCTTCATTGTTATTAACTTCTTTGTCCTAAAACAATATTTAAATAAATTCACCGTCCTGCGGACTCCTGCGATTGTCGATGACTGTACTGTATACATACCTCTATAATGTTCTCGCTAGGATGTGGTACGCATAGCTTTCCCTGCAACGTTGCATGATGCAACTTGGCGATCTTATTAATCTCTTTCAGAGTCATACTGACCATACAGGAATTTTCAGCTTCCAATTCCGAATGAGTTTCATAAAGGACGAACTGTATTTGAGGTCTCGACATGGCGAACCTTAGAGTCTTTTGTTGCTCTTCAAGGATAGCTGCTATCCTTTCGCGCGCTTCCTTGGAGTCGCCAGTTTCTGTCAGAATTTCCAGCATGGAAAGATCGCCTCCTCGGCTGCAAACCTAAAATTCCTATTTATGCAATACGTGAAATTTTACTTTTAATGCACGAATTTTGACCTTAGTACTTAGTTTGTTTACCTATTTAGTATCGCTTCTCTAGGTCATATAGGGTGTTATTGAAATACATGTAGTATTCGGTTCTAAAATTTAAAAATCTATCAATATCCTTTTGCCGACCATTATTCTGCGCTTATTTGTTAAACCAACCTATATACGTTTGCGCCGTTGTCACAAAACACGTGTAAGAATATACGCAAGATGAAGGCTATCTAATCTAAACATCTGAATAAAAAAAGAAGAGAGGTAAGAGTAGTCTTCATACCCAAACATGAAAGGACAGATTATACTATCTCAAAAACATATACTGACCAATTAGTCTGACATTGTTTGCAAGAATACATTGGAAAGGCTATGCGAAAGGTACATAAGGGAGGTGGTGATTGCAACAACACCACTACACCCAAATCAACATGCATATAAAATATACCCCAGGCAGATCTACTGATTCAGCCGTTCACCTAGTTGCTGGCCGTATAGAGATATTATTGGACAATAAAGAGTCAGCTTTGTGTGTCTTCCTAGATATAGAAGGTTTTTTGACAAAACCACCTTCCTCAATACACTCATTAACCAACAGGAATGTTCCACAGATGGCTAGTGGGTGGATACATAACATGCTCTCAATGCGAGCAGTAAACATAAGTGTAGAAGATGTGAACATAAGAGACTTGGTTGCAAGAGGATGTCCACATGGAGGAGTCACCTCTACTGCGGAACAAGGTTCTCGACGCCCTCAACAGCCGCCTCAATAATAACAGTCCATACACAATAGTGTATGCAGATAACCTGGTCATTCTGAAAATAGAAAATTTTAAGAACATACTCTGCGAAAGAATGGAACAACAGTGGTGCAAGGACCATTCACTGTCTATCAATCCCAAGAAAACAGAAATGCTCCTCCAGAGCTCCTGAACACAAAACTAAACTTTGCAACAGAGGTGAATTACCTAGATCTCACCTTTGACAGCAAGTTAAAATGGAACTTTCACCTATAAAACAGAGTTAATGAAGCATACATTGAACAATGCCGCAGAACTGAGGGTTTCTCCTCCAGAGTTGTCACATGGACTTACAGGGCCTAAGCTATGGTGCAATTGTCTGGATTTCATAAACCCAACAATTGATAGCTATCCACAAACTAGAACAAATTTAAAGAAAAGTATGTCTCAACATAACAGGATCTATGAAAACCACACCAACCAGAGCCATGGAAGTCATTCTTAGTCTTACTCTTCTTGATATCTGCACTAAGGAGGTTGTACTGATGACATGACACGACTTTACAAGGTTGGAATAGAACCTGATGAAGGATTTGGTGCTTTTGGCGAGAGGCGCTTCCACTGTTTCAAGTGAACATCTCTATCTCACCAAGATATATCTTTCACACGCCATATTAAGTTATAACGGAACAAATAAAAGAGCCGGAAGTGGCAGGTACGATTCATACTTACACCGACGGTTAAATCTAAACATAAAATGGGCTGTGATAATAGCAGCAAAATAAGTTACCAGAAACAATAGCACTGGAATGAACATGCTCTTCTATACAGATAGCAGACAGGTACTACTTACCCCGGGACAGACCACGTATGTACTCAGAGTTGGTACTCATATGTCACGAAGCTTTGGCCAAAGTATCCATCGACAATGTGGTCACTTTAAGATGGATCATAGGCCCACGCCACATCAAAAGGTAACTGTCTTGTTGATTCACTAACCAAAAGGATAGCCAACTAAATACTTTTTGGTCCTGGCCCTTTCATTGAACTGACAACATCGGTAGTGACAAACCTAATTAAATCGTATATTGTTGAAAAGAGTCAAGCGCCATTTTTTAATCGTTTGAGTTATTGATAGATTTTTTTTCCTTTCCATATCTCTAAGGTTTGGTATAAAAAGGATACAAACACCGATGCTTTATACGAACAAATACTACACACGCGACAGATTAGGGTAGAAAAGAGGTAAGCGATAAGCAAAATAGTTTTTTTAGTTGTTCTCAGAACTTACAAAATGTCGCTTGCCTCATTTTAACAATAAACGATTCAAAAACATTCCCTAGTGAAATTCAAGGACGGATGAGATAAAACAAGAAGATGAAGAGTTGTCAGGGAGCTTTTAATTTATCCCGACAACATTTCAGCCAAAAAATTCTTAACTATGACTAGACAGAATCTGCGCCTGATCACAGGCACTCTGTAGGATGTGCGAATAAGAAGATGAGACCATCGAGCATATCTTCTATGGTTTCTCGAAGCTCTCATTTATCACAATATTTGTGTTTGGCGAGTATCGGATAGCATCGGCCGATATAAGAGAAGCACCACTCGGCGACGTTGTCAACCGCATTAAATCTGTATGCTGGCTGACGAGCTAAGAGGGGCCTATCAATTTAGGACGATGCACAATGGGCCGTGGGGTAACCCACCCTCCACACGTAACAGATAGGTCCGCAAATACCGGTCAACTATGGGAAATTAATGAAAATGCTTGGGAAGAGCTCGTAGATTCCTACGAGACAATGGGTCCTATGATTGAACGTTTACGTTATCCGTAACGTACATGTTAGGCCGAGTTTTAACAGCAACGAGGCAAGTTCGTATGATGGAAAACTGTTAAATTAGAACATAACAGGTGGAAAAACAGTAATGTGTTGGAAAAAGTTTTCCATCATAAGTAACTTGTCTCATTACTGTTAAAACTCGGCCTAACATGTACGTTACGGATAACGTAAACGTTCAATCATAGGACCGATTGACTTCACAATAAAATAATAACACTATTCTTGTTATAGCCGTTAAATATTTCAGTTTTATTATAGACCTTCTTTGAAAGTTCTTCGCAACCTTTGTTGTAGCCAGTTCTTACTTCACGTAATACTTAAAGACCAATTTTCGTCCAATTTTGCTCAAGCCTTTGATTTTCTCTTGTAATAAATGGTTTTTGTAGTTTTTGATGTGCAAATGTTAATTTAATTTTGCTATAGCCTTTGATTCTCTATTATAATAAGTAAATGCTTTTTATAGTATTACATGCCTAGATTTTAATTTAATTTTGTAATAAATAAACGATTCGACAAAACGGCACTAATACAAATGATATTTTTGTTCTTAATATTCTTTCTTCATATTCCCCTTCTCTTTGTAACACCACTGGCCAAATCTTATGAAAACCAAAGGATATAACATTTAGGTTGCGCCAACTGTATATTTCGCTGTGTGACGTCAGCAATGGACCATGTTTCATTGCGTTATGTATGCGTTTTTAGATGGCTTGCAGTTGTTTACGTGATATGGAAATAGTTTAGTCTATTTAGGGCCAATCTTTTCACGTCTTAGTAAAGTTGAAAGTAACTATTTGCTGATTAAACTATAAGGCTATTTTTTTTTTGTCATCGGCATCAACTGCTGTGGTTATTAGCCTCGTGTTCTGTGCAGGCTTTGTTACTGTTTCCCAGCGCCACTTTAGAAACAGCACTGTTAATTAGTACCCAACAGTTATTCTGTCAAGAAAACCTACATGTAAATTTACTCAAAGATATAGTTCTTTTGTCTCGTTTTGTGAGGTTAGATGTTAAAGTGATCTACAATCTTATTTTTTCTTTTTGTAAAATAGCTGTACATACAGTTGTAAATGAATAAACGGCTTTGTACCACTCGTAAAAAAGGCAAGTAAGGGAAATTAAAAATGCAGACAGACCCGGTTATTCGGAGTCGATGAACTTAGGTGATCTATATTTTGTAGATATCCTATGCCAACTTCAGTTTCGTATGACTGATTTAACATAAATATTAAAAAATTTAATTTCTCCTTCTATTATTGGTTTTCAACATAATATTTTTGAATACTAATCTATTTTAATACCTACATGTATTTCAATAACATACTGTATATCGTGCAGGGGGAGATTGGGAGTACGTACTAAATCGATGGGGTCCACAACCGCCGAATAACTGTTTGGCGGTGTAGCAAAAACGGCAACCACTTCTTCCATGTAGTGGGCATCCGGAGCTGTATCAATTAATCTATCGGAGAATAATCTTATATTAGACATTCCCAATTCGTTAAAATACAATTCATATTCTTCTTTCCTAAAAACAGTTTAGATATCTTATATTTAAAAAAATATTTTATTTCACGATGCTTATCTTTGTCTAACATGATCAGAATGCTGTGTCTTTCACCCAGCTCCACATACTTTTGATTACTATACGGTGCAAGAGAAAGGTCCAACACGCCCAACATAGGGCGCGGCCATTTTGATTCCTATGCCACAGTTTATAGCTAAAGAATCAGATCGCTCACTCTGCGTCGGCACTTTTGATCTCAATGTTCCAGTTTCTACACTGCGCAACTCGGATAATACAATATATGGCAACCGCTTGTAATAAAACAGCAGTCTTCTGCGTATCCTGAATTTGTATCCCTGGAGTGGTTGTTATTTTGGAACTTTCAACTGGTCCGAGTGAGCTAACTGATTCTTTAGCAATAAACTGACTGACAGCAGCAAGCAAAATATCAAGTGCGTTTTAATCATCCGCTTCTGCTTCCGGAATTGTCGGTTTAGTCGTTTTAACATGTCAGATTAAAACAAGAAAACCGACAATTCCGAAGCAGAAGAGGATGATTAAAACGCACCTATTAAAAATATTGCGCCAAGATGTAGGCAACACGTAATAAGGGATCAAAATGGCGGAGTTTTCTATCTCCTTTTAAAAGGCACTCAGAAAGATGCGTAGTGCGACCATTCTCCGTATAGTAAAAGAAAATCAAAGTATGTGCCCAGCTCTCTTCGAGCAGAAAAAACCTCTCATACAGTTCAGAATAAAGTGTTAGAAATTCCCAACAAAGAAACGCACGGCTATAAGGTTTGGTATGTCTAAAGGGTTGCGACATACGATGTAGTCTGTCTACAATATGTGAAATCATAAATAATGAAATACATTTTAATATTATATACCGAACACAATAAAAATATTATTAAAAAAAACTTATACAACTTCTATAAATTGGCAGGCTTGACAACTACTATTTCAAATAAAAATAGCGTCCAAGATGGAAGGTTATGTCGCAACCACATTAGATTTACGAGCCCTATTGTTTGACAGGTTGTCAGATGACGTAGTTGTGTTCTTCTTATTCGGGGTTATGATGGACAAGTAATGTTATTTTTAACAGACACGTTATTTGGAACAGGTTGTAATTTCTGTGTGTTTATAAAATAACAGACCTGTTAAAAATAACACAGGTTGTCAATCGGTCCATTGTAATCGGTCCCTACCAGTAATTTAAAAATGCTACCTAAGTACCAGCTATTTTGTATGACTTCATATTTTATTAGTTTCTACGCAATACAAAATAGTTAAGTAGTTCAGTGTTTTAATGAGGAGTGTCAAGGAGTAAACAGTTCCATTTTTACCTTTTACCTGCACTGAACGCCAGCAACTTTTTGATTTTTTCATTTTGAGAAAGCAACGTTGCCAAATACGCCGTCGATCTAGGCGAATTAACATGTGTCTGTATGACGGTACCTGTCAATTCTAAATCCGTTAGCAATTTCTTGAACGTCGCCGGTCCCAAACAAAAAGATTTATCCTAGAATCAAATAAAAATACTTTGTCCTAAAAAATTTTACAGTTTTCTTTTGAACAATTAAAATTTACCTGTACTATCATGTTATATTCTTTGATAAAACGGCTTTTAGCCAGTAAGGGTCTCATAGAAGCGTGAAAAACAATTGTTTGCGGACAATGCTTGTCCCATTTGAAGGTATGTGGATTCAACTGATTGACGTCATTTACAAGTCGAAGACCAAAACTTCTTTCAATTTCGTGGCATAATGTGAATCCATCTCTTAAAAAAACACCCATAAATAATCTGCTTAAAATATGGTAAATAACAAATAACATTTTTTGAGGACAGATGACGCAGTAATCTTATACTAATAATTAATACGTCTCATAGCGCAGATTGTATATCGTGTCGGTATTTGTGAGCGTGGATACTATTTTTTTTTTCTCTTAAATTTTGAAGTTACATATCGATTTTAATTATAAAAGAATAATGATGGTATTTTATTTTTCTTACGACCACCTATGAAAACTACACAAGCACACTGTTTTGATTAATGGAAAGTATCTCATATCATCCACTTGTGGTGTTTAATAATAATAATAATAATGTTTATTAATTTTTAACCACATAATATAATACAGTATGTTTTTATCTTAATTAATAAACACAGAAAGCCACTGAAATAACTTTTAGTTATTTGTGTGTGGTAAAATTAAAATTAACAGGAAAAAAAAATATTAATCAAAGTTTAAATATGATAAATTACTTATTTCTAACTACATACTATAAATTTATATTGTATAAAAAATGTTTTAAATTACTAAACGCGCCGATCAGGTAAGTATACTCACATCTTTAACATTCCCCTATTTTAGTAATTTAACATAAATATTATATATATTTTTTATAAGGTACTTTAAAATTAGATTATATATTTACAATAGTTTACATTTCTATGTATTTATGTATTTCTGTTCTAGGTGTAGGTAGTGTCCATGAAAATTTTTAATCTGTGTTTAAATGAGGACAGTGTTGAAGCCTTTTTCACAATTTCCGGCAGTGAGTTGAATGTTTTAGGTCCTAAATATTCAAAGTTTCTTTGACCAACTTTTTTATTTTTATATGGTAGTATAAATTGATTTTTTTGTCTGGTTGGGTATGGATGTAATGCTCTTTTTAAATCAAATCTGTTGTTATATTGCGTAATAGCTAGTTGTCTGTAATATAATTGATTTATATCATATAGTTTTGTGTCAGAAAATAGTTTACAACTCGAATATCTCGGATGTACATTTAATATCAACTTTAAGAATTTTTTTTGTGACACTTCTAGCATATTGCGATATGTTGTTGATAAGCCACCCCAGCCTATGATGCCATAATTTAGATGAGATTCTATTAAACTCTGATACATAATTTTTTTTTGTTTGAAATCAAAGAAAGTGGTAACTTGCTTGAATCTAAAGAGCAAGAATCCCAATTTTTTTAAAAGATAGTAGATATGCTCATCCCATCTTAAGTGAGGATCTATTACAATACCGAGGTATTTAACTTTTTTTGCAGGTTTTATGATAATATTATCATTAATCTTTAGATCAAACTCTGGAAGAGATGATGCCAAACTACTGAATGGTAAGTATTCTGTTTTATTTATGTTTAGTGATAAAGCTCTGTGGTCAAACCATTTTTTAAGTCTTATTAAGTCTGCTTCTACTTGTTCTTTTAACGAAAACCAATCAGAATTTTTGTAGAAAACTACAGTGTCATCTTCAAAACTAATGATTTGGCCTTCTCGTTCGAGAAGAAATATATTATTTAGATATATCGTAAATAGTATTGGACCCAAAACTGTACCTTGAGGTACACCACATTTTATTTTTTGTTCTTTACTAATTTGATTGTTTATTCTAGTATGCTGTCGTCGGTTTGTTAAATAACTTTCAAAATACCTAAGTGCTGTGCCTCTTATACCTAAATCTTCGAGTTTTTCCAATAACATGTTATGATCTACGGTATCAAAAGCTTTACGAAGATCTATAAAAACTGCTAAAGATGGTATGCTATTATCCAAACAATTATAAATCTTTTTTGTCAAATTTAGTATGGCATCTTGTGTACTTTTCTTATCGCGAAACCCATATTGAGCAGAGGATAACAAATTAAATTTATCTAGAAATTGACTTAATCTATTTTTAACTACTTTCTCAAATATCTTAGCCAATGAACTTATTAACGAAATGGGCCTGAAGTTTTCTGGTTCTGTAATATCACCGCTTTTGTAAATTGGTGTAACTATGGACAATTTAAGAGCATCGGGGAAAATTCCTTGTTCAAATGATTTATTAATTAAGTATGCAATTGGTTCTACTATATAAGGTAAAATTATTTTAAGTGTTTCTGCTTTTAAATTATCATAACCTGGAGCCTTTTTGTTTTTTAGTTTAAGTATAATATTTTTTATTTCATCTGAATTTGTTGGAATTAAAAACATTGAATTTGTATTTGTTTTAACCTTTTCAATATATGTAGGATCTGCTTTAACACTTTTAGCTAAATTGACACCAATATTTACAAAAAAGTCATTAAAAATTTCACACATTTCTGATGGATCTGTTGTTAACTCGCCTACACTATTTTTTATATTTGTAATTTTTTTCGAATCTGGAATTTTTAGTATTTCATTAACCGTTATCCACATATTTTTCGAATTGTTTTGATCTTTGTTTATTTGCCCTTTGTAATAATTGATTTTTGCTTGCTTGATTTTTTTTTCTAATTCTTTCTTGTAATTTAGATAAGTTTGTTTTAAAGCTAAGTTATTTTGTTGTTGCTTATATTTGATATACAGATAATTTTTTTGGTTTACAGAGTTAACTAGAGATCTTGTCATCCATTTTTTTCTTTTTCTCTTATTGTTTTTAATCCTAATATTTTTTGTAGAATTTTGTACACTCTGCTGAACAGCATCAATAATTCTTTAGTTTCAGTTTCCAGATTACTGTTATTATTTAAAATTTTTTCCCATGAAATACTTTTTATTTGTTGGATAAGCGTTTTATCATCAATAATTTGATAGTAGCGACATTCATTACGTATTCCTATTTCTATTTTTCTTATTTCAGCGCCCCCTTAACACCCCATTTTCGGTCAGATTTTTTTAAAAATCAATAGGCTTTGTCCCCTTATAGAGCTTGTTTTTTGCTTAAAATTTTCAAGTTGATTTTATTTTTCGTTTTTGACTTATAGTGCGGACAAAAAACCTAACATCGGACGGACGGAACCAAATGCATAATACACTTCAAAAGACTACTGGGTGGGGAGTATAATGTCTTTTATGATTTCTAAATAAAAGAATTGTGTAAAAGTGTAAAAGGAATTGTAATTTATAATAGATTCTAAAAAATAAAGCATCTTCGTTTTATTTATTTCTCGAAATATATTAATTTTTAAGCATTGTGACATACGAATTTATTTCTATGCTATATACAAAACACCTAGAACATTCTTTAAGTACTTGTAGTCGTAGGAATTGTGTACATAACTCGTTGGAAAGTGTATTTCATGCACTCGTTACGTTTCCGCCCTCGCCGCTACGCGGCTCGTTCTAAACTATCACTCGCACGAAATACATCATCACCTGTTACGTAATATATTATTAATCTACAGCGTGTTTGGTATTAAGTGGTTTAGCGCACGGCTTCAGATCCTAGAGTAAACATTGTAAATTTTTAATTTGCCTGGTTCATTGTAGGATTTGATGGCTGGCGAATTAGAAGTAATTTAATTTCTGTTGAGGCAACCAGATTACAAATCGGAGTGCGGTACCGTTTTAATGATGGTTTTTCCTGACACAATCAAATATATTTAAGTCGCCCCGAAGCGCCACAGCAAATAATAATAATAGTTTCTTCCCCGCACAAGCTCAGTTGGCTTCAGGAGTTCAATTATAGGTGAATTATAGGGAGAGTTATTGTTATTATTATTTCAAATTAAAATACATTGTTCCCAGTCCTATAATAAACTACATAGACAAATAATTAGCATGCCACCAGTATTCAAAAATCTTCTTGAAATCACATATTGGATTATGCGAAATTCAGCGGCAATTTGTCCTTAGCCATCCTCGATTACTCTTATGATTTTCCCCATATCTTTGATATGATGTGTCTAATATGAAACATTTCGTTAAAATTTAAGAGGGTCTTCAGCATTTTTTTTAAATAATAATAATACTCTCCCTAATTCACCCCCTTACGAGTGAATTTTAACCCCAACAGCTGAGCTTGTGCGGGGATGGGACAGCTATTATTATTATTACTACTTGCCGTGGCGCTCCGAATCGACTTCTATATGGTTGATGGTGCCATTTGACTTACAGGTGAGGAAAACCCGGAAAACCCCACCCACCATCATCAAAACGGTAACGGCATGGCGTTTTATAATATGGATGTCATATTAATATCCACAGAAATTAATTTTCTACTAATACGGCATCCATCAATTCCTATAACGAACTAGACAACTACGCCACCGAGTCGAATGATAATTACTAGAAAATCGGAGTGGACTCTTTTCATAGTAGCCCAATCGGTATATACTTAACTTACTTAGTTTTGTGTAGATTAATCCAGCAAGTGACAGGGTTCGTCTGCGCGTGCTCGGTCACTTTTTCGTCTTTAAGATGCGGAGGCAGCATTTCGCTAAGCGATAAGGCGTTATTTTTTATCCTCAATCGAGCCACAGCCGCAGCCAGTTTTACTTTCTGCGACCAGAGGGCGTTGTCGGGAAAACTAAATCCGTAGGCGTCGAATAATTGTGCGACGAGCGATGCCAGACTTATTTCGCGTTTGTTGAAATTTCGATGATAGAGATCGTAGAATAATAACCAAACTACTGCTTCGTTTGCTGACAACTGAAAACAGAATTCTGTCCGTAAATTAGAAGAATACTACTTTAAATTAAACTTTAGTCACCGATAAAATTGTAAATTTAATAAAATTGATTCCTGTAATACTAAGCTAAAGTTTTTTCATCACTAATTCACATATACGCTAGTTCGGTGTGATGTCATTATGGTTCCACTGACATTTAATACTAGCCAAACTTTTAACAAAAACATCAATAAATTTGACGTATACGTTTTTACTGTTTTTAGTTTATTTCTAAATATTGTTTACAGGTCATAAAAAATAGTTAATAGGTATGTAATTGGTAACTAAACGATTGTACATTTGACGCATGTTATCTACTTACTTTAGAAATATATTTATAAAAGTGAAGAAACGATATAATTTAGGTAAACAAAACGAACAAAACGCACTCAAAAAATCTACTGTCACTTTGATTGTCAGTGGAACCATAATTACATCATCACTGAACTAGCGTATTACACCTGATGCGGAATCCGGCAAAGATCAAAGGCGTTTGAAGTGAGGATTCTGTGACCTTGAAATTTTAAATGGTTATGGCAAAGCTGTTGCCAATTTTAGAGCATTGTTGCCTTGTTTAGTTGCCAGAATTGGTGCAAGCAGTAACTAGTTTAATGCAGTATTGCAGCACTTCTATGTTAAGTCCAATGTCAATGACAAGTGACAGCCGTTTTTCTAACAAACGTTTCCTGAAGTTATTAGGCAAAAATAAAATGCTATTTATGGCGGTTTAGGTTTTAAATAGTATAAAGAATATTGAAAAGTCCATCATTTGTTTTACTTTTGATGAATAATATTTAAATAACTAATATTTTACAAATATTTAAAAGTTATGGACTTTCCAACATTTTTTAATCAACTTCAAAATAATACTAGACTAGGGTGACTAAAGGGCATGTCGTTTCTACTGTTGCTGTCAGGATATAGAAAATTCATTCGAAAATTAAGCTGTTTTATGGCGCCGTGTACCGGTGTCAAGGCCATTTTTCATTTACTTTCGTGTAACCAATCTATTTGTACAGCCAAAAGTGCAGATATTTGCCTTACTTGTTAGTTTTGACACAGGAAAATATTAAACCGTCACGTTATTACATGCAATTTTGCTGTCACAGATATATAAGAACGCCAAAACAAGGCCGTTTATTTTAAAAGAGCAAGCAATCAACTTTCAGCACCTTCTTTTATGGGGCTTTGTGTTTTTTAATAATTTAATGCTCATTGGAAAATTTTGACATTTTCATTAGGAATCGTTTTTAAATCACGCAAAATAGTTATACCTTACCGTTTATTATACGAGGATGGGATTTTATAATTCTTTTTGAAATATCAGTTTAAATCAGAGTGTTTAGACTTTTTCAAAAAATGGTTAAATTTGATTAAGGTACGAATAAAAACCGTCATTTCTACCATAATTCCCCATTAACTAACTCGCGGCTGTTGGCCATTTCACTTTCTTCATACAATGCATATTAATTTTAGGAAGTTAATCAATAATAAACAAGAATTGCAAATGCGTGTACCTAATTATTGTACAGCAATTTAACTAGTCGAAAGGAGATTATCATTTAACTCTACAAATAACTTTATTATTTCGCCTCTGTTCCAGTCAATGTGGCCGGAAAAGTTCGTATATTAAAATATCACGTATTTCTATAATTTGCACATATCATTGAAACATTAAGAGGAAAATTCTTACCTTAGGAAATATTCCAAAAAAGTTGATATCGTTCAAGGCTTGAGTTAAAACATATTTATCTGAAATGTAAACATTATAATAATTAGTGTATCTATTTAAAGTAGACCAGTCTTCGTCAACCCATCTAATATTTCAAAGTACCACCGGTGCCTCTTTAGTTTTTACCATAGATATGGAGAGGGGGAAAATAGGAAAATGTTTACCAGTGGGTTATGATATGGCAACCCTGTAGGCATGGTGATTTGACAGGATCAATGAAATAGATACTTATATAGATTGATAATCCGTGTTTGTCAAAATAGATATAAGCTTATGCCTCAAAGTAAAAATATAATTATTTTTTTTTACTGTATTCAAAAGCTGAAAATTGGTTTGTAAACACATTTTTGTTAAACTGATTCTGATTAATGAGCACTAGCCGCTTTAATCAATCTATATAGCTATGTATGTATCATTGACCCTGTCAATGACAACAGGCCCACAGTGTTGTCATATCAAGTCGCTGGAAAGCCTAATTATTAGGCGTGTTGTCCAACTCGACCTGACGGCCTCGTTGGACAATTTTACGTCGCGTGAAATAAACACTTACATTTTGCACTTGTTGCATAAATAACTATTAAACAATAAAGGAGGATTTATAAACTACGTTCAGTTCGCATTCAGTTCACGCTCAGTTCGAGTTAAATATAAAGGTGGATTCATAAACTACGTTCAGTTCACGCTCAGTTCGAGTTCAACATAAATAGAGCAAAATGAAACGGTAAGTATGTTTTGGATAAGAAGTTATAACGGATTCATAATTATTTTATAACCAACACCATCTACCAATATAATTAAAACAAAAATAACACCAAAATATAATTTTATTTTGTGGAATTTGTGGTTATGTCTTGCCAACTGCAACTGAGCGCGAACTGAACGTAGTTTATGAATCCACCTTAAACAAAGCAGAATGACACGGTAAGTATGTTTTGGACAAGAAATTATAATGGATTTATAATTATTTTATAACCAACACCATCTACAAATATAATTAAAACAAAGATAACAACAAAATATAATTTTATTTTGTGGAATTTGTGGTTATGTCTTGTCAACTCGAACTGAGCGCCAACTGAACGTAGTTTATAAATCCAGCTTTAAAGGTTTGTCAACTGACAAAATCGATACTTACACCTAAAAACATCATAAATAAGACTATAAACTCTCCTCATTTCTTGTTCATCTTCAAAACTTGTGTGCACTGGTGGAGAATTTAACAAACAACCAGCTTTTGATATATCACTAACTGTCCAAGTTATAGGGCCTGGACCTAAAATGAACAGCCGCGTTTTAAATTTTCACATTTCGTCGTTAATTTCACTAAGGACCGATTCCACCGTTGTGTTAAACGGAGTTTAAAATGACATTTTTACATTAACAATGTCATTTTAATCTCCGTTTAACACAACGGTGGAATCGGTTCTAAGTGGCGTAACTCGAATTTCACAACTTTACAGGAGAGCGTTTTAAACATTTTTTTAAAGTTGAACCAAATGGAAACAAGTAACAGTAACAATCTAAAATCTAATTTTTGGTATACTAGAAGATTAATGTGTCAAGTACATGTCTATACATCATTTTCGCCAAAAAACTGTTTGATTTTTCTTAAAATAGCCGACAATGAGAGACGTCACTTTGTGAAATTAAAAAACCATTGCGTAACGACATAAAACTGAGTTACCTCAATTCATTAGGAATTAACCACAATTTTATTATAAATCAACAACAACCATACAAAACCAGATACAAAACCATTATAGGCAAACAAATATAAATAATACAAGTAAATTAAAACAAACATTCTGTATTTAAAATAATAAAATTTAAAAAATAAATAATAATGCTAATAAAAAAATAACTGATAATGAAAAAAGATATTACTTGGAAATCAAGCATTGTGTGAAAGATTAAAATAAAAGATTTTATGTTCCTGATTTCTAACTACTGGCAAAGACCCTTCACATAGTGACTTAAGGTCAAGGTATTTCTCAGCTTTGAGTTTTCGAAGTTCTCGATTTAGAGGCTCCAAATTAACTTCAGTTAAATCAGTTTGTAATCTTTTAAGTGTAAGCGAATCGAAGTCCTCTTGAAGGTGACTATTTTTGAAAAATATTTTGAATGGATCAGATTTCTTTACCTTCAATTCCATAATATTAGTACATTTTATGGAATTTCCAGAATCCGGTGTTCTTACTGACAATATTCGTTGATCTCTGGATAGTTTCTTGAAATCTATAAAGTCATGATACTCTAGAGCAGCGTTACTCAAAGTGTGTTCCCCTTTGTGGGGCTCCGCGAAGAAAATAAGCAGTACCTATCACTACAACAGAACGGGAAACGGGACTTGGCTTGATAGTGTTTTCTTTTAGAAGGAGTATATGAGGATTCGTATTTTGGATTAGAGGACCTTTTTTTTAGAAAAGCAAGGAGAGTATATGATGATTTGGTATTTTGGGCGGGAGGGCCTTTTTTTTAGAGGTCATATATGATTGTATTTTCGGCTGGAAGACCTTTTTTTAGGAAGGAAGAGGAAAGAGTATGGTTTTGGTATTTTCGGTTGTGTTGTTTTTGTTTTTTAGGGGCTCCGCCAGGGACCTGGCAAGAGGCTAGAGCAACGAGGGCTTTTTTTCCGAAATGTGTTTAGGGCTCCGTCACATATTTCACTTTTCAAAAAGGTTTCGTCACCAAAAAAGTTTGGGAAACACTGCTCTAGAGATATTACTTTGTATGGTTGTTTTCTTCGGGCAAGGCGCATAATGGGGTGAAGCTGTGATGGTACAAAAATATCACCTGCGGTTTTTAGTGCAGTTGAAATAGCACTATGTGCAGAATCTCCTTCATTCTGCCCATGGAATGACTCAAAAAATATAAGCGATATCTCCTCTATGTTTTTAGAGTTTGCCACCGTATACAGAAGCATGATTGCAGTAATTGAATTTTTATTTTGACCGCTGCAACCATCTGAAAAAACAGCAACCGATTTAACAATATTTTCAGAGTCGTAGATAGTAAATAGATGCAGGAACTTATTTCAGCAGCACCTCGTTTACTTTGTACTTCATTCCAGAGATAGCAAAAACAATCCTTTGATGCAATATTGTACACTATAATATTATAGTTAGCTAATCGATTCTTGTAAAAAATAGCGCTTTCCTTTGACTGAGGCAAATAAATCATTTGCTGTAAGTCAAAACTAGCACATAAAATCTGAGTGTTACTTAAAAGCTTCTGTTTTAATATTTTGTTTTATTTCTCTTATTTTTTCTTTTTCGGCAACGTGCTTCTCAAATCGAGCTCTTAAGTTTTCTTTTACACTATCATCTCCTGTGCTGTAACTAAGACAAAAAGAGCTCTGGTCTTTCTTTGCTTTGTGAAACGAAAAATTTAGAGATCGAAATACTCTTACGTATAGGTCGATACAAGGTTTTTCGTCATTATTATTAGGTTCGTTTATGAAGATGTCATACATTTTCGATATTGTCAAGCCTGGGTGCAGATATTCCTTTGTAGAACTTGGACCTGCAGTAGTGTGATTCTACTTTAGGAAATCTGCGAATGTATGTTATAATGGCGTCGCGTAGGTCTTTATCTCTCTTAATAACAGCAGCAAAATATCAATCACTTCGTTTTTTTTCTTCCAATACGCCACTTTCATCGACTTTATTTAATGCGTTTCTCATGAGTCGTTCAGAAATTCCCAAAGTGTTTAAAAAAAATTTCCTGCACACTATCTTGGGAGTATTTTCCTGTGTAAGAAAGTATTTGTGAGTAAATTTTCTTCTTGAATGTTTGCTTTTAGTTGTTTTGAAAATCGTTGCTAACATGACGTGCTATGAACTCGCGTTGCCTTGTTAGATTTACAATTTAATTAAATGACTCAAATAGTTTAGATCTTTCTTCGTTAAATAAATAACAATTTCGTGAATTCTTTTTGCAAACGTCGAAATTACAACTTTCCTTGAGTTGCCGTGCTGGTACAACAATACCTGATTTGAGTCTAATGTAATCTTGACCGAGGTCTCTCATTTTTTTGGCTAGTTCCTGTTTATTTACTTTTTTCTTTTCTCAGACAATTCTTCTTCTCTTCCTTCACCCTTTACTAAAAAGTCTTCTGGTAGTGTTGCGTTTTTTAATGTATTGTCTTCGCCCATATTTTTACCAGTAATTTTTGATTTAGTTTTACGAGATGATTTTTTTTTTTTTCGTAGTCTTTAAGTGGCTTTTACATGAATCCCCGTAAACTTATATGGCATGAACTAAATACCTCTTTTCTACAATCTTTTGCTTCGCAGCTTTGTTTATACGTAGGATCACCGAGATTATAAATGTCTCCATGTCGATGTCTGACTGAATATGATTATAAGATGGACCCTTAATATCTGGAACAGGATGTACTTCATTTCCTATTTGCTGATTAGAAATAATATCTGAAATACATAAATTCATAAAAAAATTTTAATTTACTGTTCATACTATTGAAGTACATACCTATATGGTTTGTTGGAATTCCAGATTCTATTACTTCCTTAGAAAGTGGAATATCATCACTATCACTTTCAGGAATATTTTTCAATTTTCTTATTTCTGCTAAAGGCACTTCATGAGAACTCTCGCTGACGTCAACACTTGTGTTTTTTAATCCAATATCGATCACTGTGCCATAAAACCATTTTTTAATGTAAAACATCTTCACTTCACTGCCTACTTTAATTTTTCTATTTTTTCCCACACTTCTAAGTTCTTTTAGGTCTACAATATTTTTGGATTCATCCTTCCATACTACTAGTACATCCATACTTTAAAGTAAATTTTAATGTTTTAACACCTTAAACTTTATTTTTTGCGGTATAAACCACGTACCACCCTTACTTAACGCTTTCCTAAGAACAACTGACACATATCCGTTTAATTGCACTATGCACGAGTCAGAAGTTTGCAAGTCGTATCATGTTAATATGATATACGCCACCTAGAATTTTCCTAAAAGTCCGAAATAAAATTTATCAAAGTGACTTAAGTTGAGTTACGCCTATTCTTTAAATTGTATTTCGGCAAAATATAAAAAGAACCCGTGAGATACGCCAGTTTATCGAAGTAGCTATAAGGAATTGAGATACGCTACTTGCTGAAATTGTAGAGCACTTTTTACCTAGGTAAGATTAAGATTTAATTAGGACTATGGTCCATGTGGTCTCCCCCACCTCAACCTTTTCAGATCTATTGTGGATATCCTTTAATCATTGTTTTGAGTACCTTGTCTAATTCGGTCTTTTGTAGTAGACTCCATAGACTGGGAAGTAGTTCTCAGATATAGCTTGTTGCCCTTGGTTTTTCTTCTCCAAGTGTAAGGAATCTCAGTCTTACTAGACCTTCGCAGTAGCACAATAAGTGTTCTGCCGTTTCCTCTTCTTCTGGACAGAATCGGCACAAGGCCTCTTCTGTCAGACAGATATTGAACATATGTTTGTTAAGCCTACAATGCCCTGTTAATAGACCTACTAGTATTTTAGTATTTTTCCTATTAAGGCTTAGTAGATGCTCGGTGAGTTTAGACGATGGTCCTTTTAAGAACTTTTTGGCCTGTCTCTGTCCTGGTGAGTTTTTCCACCACTCCTGAGATTTTTTAAACATCCACTGCTTTGTGCATGTTCTGATAGTTGTTTTTGTTACACCACAGAAGGGTTCTGGGCCAATAAGAGCATTTGAGGCACCTTCACTGGCTAGTAAATCAGCCTCTTCATTGCCCTTGTGTCCCCTGTGGCCTGGTACCCAAACTAAGGTTAGTCTGTTTTGACTACCCAGCTCTGTTAGGGCTTCCAAACAGTCCCACACAAGCTTTGAGTATACCTGCATGGAACTGAGTGCTTTTGACGTCGCTTGACTGTCTGAGTATATGACAATGGTTTTTCCATTTACCTTCTATCTTAATACTTCTTTTGCACAGTGATGTATTGCTGCTATTTCTGCCTGGAATACTGTCGCATGTTTACCTAAGCTCAGTGAAATTCCTGTCTTTGGCTTGGTACTATATATACCTACTCCTGAACCTTCATGGGTTTTAGAGCCGTCTGTATACCAGGTGAGATCTGCAGGAATAGGAGGTCCTCCCGTCCACGCTTCCCTGTCTGGTATACTTACTTTATATTGCTTTTGAAAGCTATACTTTGGAAGCATTTCGTCTGAAGGCATTCCCATTATTTGGTCGTTCTCCAACTCTTTATATAGCTCGCTGTAGTCGCGTCCATGCAGACTGCTTATGGGCGATGAACCTTTGTGCAGTCTGTATGTGACAGACCTGGCTTCGCCTTGAATGAATATATGTAGTGGTGTTAGGTTTAGCATGACTTCTATAGCTGCTGTTGGAGTCGTTCTCATAGCTCCCGTGGTACTCAGGCATGCTTGTCTTTGAATACCATTAAGCTGTCGAATGGCTCCAGCTTGCCGAGTCTTTGGCCACCATACCACCGACCCGTAGTTATCATCGGCCTTATGACTCTGGTATATAACCACAGAGACATTTTTGGTTGTAATCCCCAATTTTTTCCACACAACCTTCGATATAAGTTGAAGGACGTTGTGCTCTTTTGGGTGACTTTTTGCAAGTGTTGATTCCATGTTAACCTGTGGTCAAAGATGACTCCCAAGTATTTGGCCTCTTGAGCGAATGGAATCTTCACTCCTTTCAGTACTGGTGACTTTAGTCCTGTTGGTACTTTTCGTTTTGTAAAGTTGACTATTGTGGTTTTGTGAGGGTTTACTGTTAGTTCCTCCTCTCTGCACCACTCGTCGACAATGTTTAGAGCGGTTTGTGTGCGCTCCGATATTGTACCTGCGAACTTGCCTCTTACGACGATCGCCAGGTCATCGGCATACCCTAGGCAGTAAAAATCTGCAGATATTAGCCTTTTTATAAGTTCGTCCACTAGGACTGACCAGAGGAGGGGTGATAGTACTCCTCCCGGTCGCTGAGAGGATTTTCTCTCAGTATTTCGTCTCGTATATATCTATTAGTCTTTCTAGCGTTTTCAGCATGAATGACGATAGACTGATTGGGCGGTACGACTTTGGCGTCATGTCATTAAACCTTCCTACTTTAGGGAGGTATATGACTTTCACCTTTTGCCACGCCTTTAGTATATGTCGCCAGGCTATACATGCAAAAATATCTTATTTGAATGGATTTTGCTCTACAACAACAATTTAGAATACGATTTTTTTGTAGGTAGGTAACTACAGAAGTGGCTATTTACATAATAGTTCCTACCTTTTGGGGGTTTCCTTGACCGCCTAAATTTTTCAAATTTTGGATCACATTCATATGTTTTAGGTTTGGGAATAGTGTTCCATTCATACAGCCTTGGTTTTTCTTGTATTGACAGTGGATCGAACATCTTACTGAAAATTTAAAATACAATTCAAGAGTTAAAAAACCAGATTGACATTAATAGTTAAATTTTTATATTTAAAGATGTTCTTAAAATAAAATAAATGGGAAATACGTAATATGCTAAAAATTGGTTGATAAATGTTAAATTCAACAGATCAAAGTGAAACTGCATTAAGTTTATTTCCAACGCAATTTTGGTTTTCCTGTAAAGCTGATTTACGTCAGTCTGATTTTTAGTCTTCAAATCTATATAATTTTTCAAATTAAAGGTACCTACCTGAAGGAGAAATACTTTTCAATTTAACTTAATAATTTTTAGATCTGCCATTATATTTTGACAGTTTAGGAAAAAGTCATAATTTGCTGGAGATGGCTGAGATTTCATTTATAAAATAGTTTATTGTTTTTCTGTACAATTTTTCTCATCTATGCTTCGTTCCTCGTAGTATAACCTATAAATTTTTTTGTCACTATTGACAAATTGCTAATTGTCAAAAATTATATATTAGGGTCCACCCCCATACTTTGATTACTATACGGAGCAAGGAAGACGTCCGACACTCCCAACATAGGGCGCGGCCATTTTGATGCAATTACTACTAGGCTAGGCAACACATTTTTCCAAAATATTAAACTGGTAGCCTACATCCTGGTATTTTTAAATTTTAAATGAAGGCAACAAATGTAGAAGAAACGTTTATTTGTTTTAAATAATATAGAAAAAACTTCTTTGTAAAGTTATAATTGGGAGTGCATCTTGAAATAGAGATGAGTGGTTTTAAATTATTTCTAAAGCTGTGTATATGATTTTACCTTAATAATATGATATTTTTCGCCAGTCCCATGCCCATGAACAAATATTTTATTTTTGTAATGTAATAAAAATATTTGAGGCTAAATAATTTAATATTATATTTTGCATTTTTTTATCTGTAAATATGGTGGCGAAACTATAAAATAAATACAAAGAAATATGAGATTAAAGAAGCTCGAACTACAAAAATTAAATTGTAATTATTTATTAGTTTTTATGCTTATGTGTGGGGTTTTTCCGGGGTATCCTCATTTATAATTCAAATGACATCTGTAAGTTGTCTCGGAGAGCCATGGAAAATAATAATAGTCATCCCTCACCGGGTACAAACAACTCTGCATTCAGAGTTGCAAGGATCACTCATAATGGGTTAAATCATAAAACTATTAGTTACAAAAAAGAAACGATCCTTTGAACTTCCAGAAAATCGTCGTGGAGAACTTTTTCAGCTGAATAAAGAGAACCTATAAATGTTTATATTTTGTATCGTTTTGTATAATAACTAATCCTTTTATTGATATTCCAAGGATATAAAAGACCTCTGTTGCACGATAGGTTATCCAGAAAAGGCATTGCCAGAGACATAGGTATCCCCTGGAAACTAAATTCCTTTCTTCCCTAAAATTTTAAGCCACAGGCTTATTATTAAGGCCACAGTACCACCCCCAATATTCGTAACATGAACTAATTTTGATAGATGTCATTTATATGTCATAAATTAAGAATCCTTTTGTTCAACAGATGGAGCAATATTCCATATTTAATAGTTCTTTTGTTCAACAGATGGCGTAATAATTTTATTAATTTTAAACGGTAATTGTTATAAAATAACAAATTCATCACCCCTAGCCACTACGCGATGATACGTAAACGAGTTCTTGACCTTGCAAATATTTTCGATGTAGCAGGTATAAAAATAATATTTTGGATTACATTCGGAATATCGGTATATTTACTTAGTAGTTCATTCTTGTGTCCAGTCAACAAAGGATAAAGGTCTTCGTATCATTACGTAGGGACCTATTATACCATACATGGTGTTTCGTTAAGAATGGGACATAGAACAACTGACGATTCTCTGAATAAAATAAGACAACTAAACAAATCATGTTTAGATAAAATGTTTCTCGTTTCCGAATTACGGTGTTAAAATCCAAAAAATATTTATGGCTATATTTTTTTATTACTCACAAGAATTTTACTAAATTTGGCAAACGGTTTTGATGTTATAATATCCACCTATCAGCAAAAAATTAGTTACCTGCTTTAATTAACTTTTCCAGAGGCGTACAGCATTGGTACGTAATACGGCATCCCTTCTAAATTTTACGTCACTATCCAAAAAGTTATTTAGACATAAAATTTTAAATTTTTTGATGTTTTTCAAATAAATAATGTACTCTTTTTAGAAATTTAATAAAAAAAAATCAAAATTTTGGACAGTGGACTAAAATTTAGAAGGGAAAAAGGTGTTACTTGCCCATGAAGTATGCCACTGGCAAAGCTTATTTAACTTATTTTTTTTGCTGATAGGTGTATTTTACTACACCAATAACGTTTGCCGAATTTAGTAAAATTAAACTGAATAACAAAAAAAATTGTAGCTGTTTATAATTTTTGATTTTCGAGTAATGTTTTACCTACGGATGTTTCGTTTAATCGGCTTATTTCTGATCAGTTAATCTTCAGTTGCTTCCATTCTTAATGGAATACCCTGTATATACCGAAAGGTCTTGCAGCCAATGAATCAAATAAAAAAAAAGAAAAATATAATAAAAAAGTGTTTTTATTACCGTATTTACCCACAATACTTTATATAGATCTGCATCAGTAAAAATTATTTTCAACAAATTTAATCTCATTTATATGTAGGTAGTATGTTTGTGTAACTTGGCGGCATACGGAAAACTTTTTTAAGAATTTTAAGAAAAAATCTTATTTTTCATAAACAATTGAATGGTCTATTAATTTTAGAAAAAAAGTTACTTTACATAAAAAGTTATGCATGGTCTAAAACCTAAAATTCAAACATCTGATATCAAATTTTATCAGTCGTATATAGGGTTTGTCGAAAATAAATTTTTTGACAAACGTTGTAAAACCGACTGATAAAATTTGATATCGGGTGGTTGCATTTTCTGTTAGACCATGCATACATTTTTATAAAGAATAACTTTTACATAAAATGAATAATAAAAAAGGTTTTCTATATGCTGTCAACTTACATAGACATACTGTGTGTATGCAACTTATGACATATTGCTGAGATAATGTTTTTGTAAGAAAAGAGAAATTAATTATAAAAATTTACTTCATTTGTAGAGTCGTAATTTATGTTTTCATATTAAGTTTTTATTATAATTTTTTTTTATCAATTTAGAATTACAGTACTATTTTCAATTATTAATAAAAATTACGTGTTCATTTTAGATTAATCAATAAGAAAAATAAGCATTTTTGAAATATTAATAACCAAATACACATTAAACAACAAATAAATAAAAAAGCATTTAAAACACGTTGTCTGCCGAAGCAAATGTTGTGGTCGGGTCTGCTGAGCCGAAGTAGTTTTTCTAAAAATTTAAGTCTGTTTTTACGTTTTAAGTAGTTTAAGTAAATGCTTAGGTAAACTACAATATCTAATAGATGCGCGAATAAAATACATACACGCGGCGCGGGATTAAATTATTACAAACTTATGTGGCTTGCATATATTGTTAATAATATATTCAGGACATACACAGGGCCGCCGAGAGCCAGGCCGGGCCCCAGGACAATTCGCTAGATCGGGCCATGTGACAAAAAAATCTTTAACCAAAAACTGTTCCTCTTCTACTGAAATAGAATTTAAAAGGTCTTTACATCAAAAACTATTCTCCCTTTCAATTACTTCTTCTTCTAAACAAAAAAAAAGTCCTCACCCGAATAAAACTTCTCTGGGCTAAAACTTTTAATTAATTTAAACTTAACTTCCCTCTCTCATCTTGTGTCGAATTTCTCATGCAGAACAAAAAAAAACTTTGCCGGGCCCCCTTACAGCGCTGCCGGGCCCCCATTTAAGCCCGGGCCCCGGGAATTAGTCCCGGCTACCCCCCCCTCTAGTCGGCCCTGGACATACATTAGTGCGTAATTGTTCAATATTTCAATTTGTGTTATGGACACGTAAATAATTTCTAAATAAAAAGTTATATGAATTTCAAAAATGGGTATTTTAAAGATATTTTTAGACATACAGTGTTTTGCGTTTTTGTCTGACAAATAAAAAGGTATATTTTTTAAATAAAAAACCCTGTATTTTACTTCAGTTTTAGAATGCTGCATGCAATGCTGTAATACTGCATTTAACCCTAGAACTTTATTAACAAATATTGCAGGGTTGCCAATAAATTAATTTTTTTATGAAATTAGAGAATGATGCAGACCCTAAATTAAATTATAATTTAATTTAAAAAAATAGTAATAAGATACTAAGCTAACGAATAGTGGTGATAGAACTGGATTATTTTATACAGAGTGTTTTGAAAAACAAGTCTTAAATATGGCTAATTCCAAGTTAAATTTATTTAATTTTTTCAAATGCCACACGCTGTATGTTATTTAAACATACAATTCCTTATAAATTTACATATCCAACGATACCAATATGATAGTCAATAACACATGAGTTTTATAATAGGAAATACGAAAAAAAAAATAATATAAAAGTTGTATGACCATATTTAACAATTATTCATAAATATGCAGTGTGCATTTTTAAAGCAAAACACCCTGCAGGTTGTTATACATATTTGATTGTTTTTACATCGTCGAACAATATTTTCAATTTGATTCATTTGATATGTTGTATATAGAATGTGTCAAAATTTGAGGTTACGATTTTCTCAATTTTTTAAATGTGATACTCTCTATGTTATACCACCAATTAATTAATACAGTGAATTCCATTGAAACAATTAAAAAAATCGTAACCTCGCGCTTTGATACACCCTACATATAACATAGCAAATGAATGAAGTCAATTAAAATTATTTGACAACCTGAAAACAATCAAATATGTATAACTACCTGCAGGGTGTTATTCTCTAACATGTTGGTATTGTTGAACAGGCAAATTTATAAGGAATTGTATGCTAAAATATGTTGCCTTTGAAAAAATTAAGTAAATTAAACCTCAAAGTAGCCATATATAAGACAAGTTTCAAAACACTCGGTATAAAAGAATCCAGCACTATCAACACTATTTGTTATCTTAATGTGCTACAAGTCTGTATATTAAACAATTTTGAAATTAATGTAATCCTACCCAAATTATGATAATTTAATTTGGGGTCTGCATATCATTCTCTAATTTCATAAAAATTTAATTGCTTGGCAAACCTGTAATAGTTTTTTTAAACATTCTAGGCTTGAATACAGTATTACCAAATCATTCTAAAACTGAAATAAAATACATGTTGTTCTATTTAAAAAATATGCCAGGCAAAAATATAACACCCTGTATATCCAAAAATATTTTTAAAATATGTATTTTCTAAATCCATATAACTTTTCTTTGAAACATGTTTGCGTGTCTTTAACACAATTTAAAATATTGAACAATTACGCACTAATGGGACATACACAAGGGTACATATACACATAGCAGTCAACGTGTTAACTCAGAAATAAAGTTCCTTATAAAGATAAAATAACATTCATTAGAAGAAAGCAAGTCCCGCAAATATTACGTGCGTACCATACAGTGATGCCAGGTCATTCGGATTCAAATTACATCTCAATGCAATAAAGTTCCTCTCCCGCATTTCACATTTCACCCACTTTAAAATTAAATTCGCCTGAGAAAAAATTGTGAAATTATCGTATAAATCGATATTTATTGTACATCTGGCAACGTGGCCAATACTTGTTCATACGCAAGGAACACAAATCGATAATTTTGTATCTGGAACGCAAAGCGAGACAAATATATATGAAAATCACGAAACAATAAAAGACGGCATACAGCTGTATCATTGTTTCAAAAATTGGTACCTCTAAACAATCATTTACCTATTAAAACCATCTCTAAAACAGAGTAGCTAGATTTTTTTTACGGTGACATCTTCTTAAAAATAGATGAACTACATGAACTATACACAATTACAGGAATTCATAGAAAATCTCTAATTTGACAAATAAATTTATCAAATATTTGTTAATCGTATTTCCAGTTAGATTTGAAAAATACGCAATAAAATTTAGAAATATTTTGGCGGGATACTTGGAAAAATATGTAGAATGAAATCTCCTACTTTTTAGCCTGTGGTTTTAAAATCACTTTTTATGATTTTTTTTTAAAATTCAGTGTATAAACAGGACAAATAAAAAATAGGAGATTTCATTCTCCAAACCTTATACTTTAAGCTGGTAGAAGATTCATTTTAATACATTTAGCGGGATTTAAATGCAATCGGAAATGGTGAACCCTTGCTTCTTATATGAAAAATACAGTGATACTGCGCCCTTAAACCTCATTGACAGGTCATACATGCCAGAATAATCCAACTTTAACGATTTGATATCGAATCGACTACTCGTTAAACGGAATTGCTTTTGTGGAGTTTGATATCAAATTCGAGTCGAATCGTGAAACGGAATCCCACCCCTCTGTATTTTAATTCTACGAGTGTTCTGGGTGTACGGTTCTGTTCTCGCGAATTTATTGGATATTGGATCAGTGGCGAACAACTTCGTGCGTCCACCATTCGTGTATACAAAACGCGCCGCACGAGGCATTCGATTCGGCCTTGGCTTGCCTCATGCGCGTACGAGCTCTGTACGCGCCTTTTAAATTTATGTATTTGCTGTCTCTCTTTATGTTCTTGTCGGATTCTTTTTTATGTGACAATGAGAAATATGAAAAACCACCTTTAGACATACATCAACATTACATCAAAAATTTGTTTATAAGGTTAAAAATTAGATACAGTTTTAAAATTAGAGTATGAACATATCAAAATGTGGAACTATAATGACATGGAAGATTCTGAAGATTGTTCAAAAGAAGAGGAAGAAGATATATTCATGGAATATGAAGAAACTAATCCTCAAGATGACGGCAATCCTTGGCTGAAGACCATTATCAATACGTACAGAAAATACAAGAGGGAACTTTTCGGAGACTCGAATACGCGTATAAGGAAAGAGCGGTCATTAGATTATACAGTACGACCCAATTATAAGTTTGTTTTTGCTAAATATCGAGATGGTTTCTACAGGCCTGGATCCATAGTAGGTAGAAATAAGAAACTGAAACAATTTATCATTTACTTTTATCACAACAAGAAATGCTGTTACGTCCAACCAAGAGATATAGTTTTAAAACACGGAAATCTTTTAGACAGAAGAGTTTGTTTTTCCTATGACGGTCACAGAAGAAAAGGCACCGTTTTTGGAAACAATTCGCCCGCCAATCGTGGCTTTCCGTCGATATTTTACGTAAAGAAAAAATGTAAACCGAAATGGTACAAAGTGAATTTCAAGCATATCTTTCTAACCAAAAAGCAAGTAAACAGAATGTATTTCAATGTATCGAGAAGACGAGTTTCTAGTAGTGTTTGTAAAAATAGATCTTCAAGAAGTGGCATGCAATTATAATAATTGTTTAGGTCTTTAATAAAATTAAAGTTACGTTCATGCTTCAATATTGCCTATTAATTTTGCAATTTGCATATTAATCAGAACGTACGATAAACGTTGGGCGTAAATTTAAGTTGAATTGATTTTATTGCCGTTAAGCCCTTGAAATTGCAAAGTAGGTCGAAGTTGGCGATGGCGTGTTCCACAACAATATGAAAATAGTATCACCCTGCTCTGTTCGTTGAAGATGTGCATGTGTGGAAATGAGTTTTTTATTTTGAATCAAAATAGGAACAATTTGAATAGTAATTTCTGCCTCCGGCAGATACCTATGCAATATACATGTTTCTAAATACGAATTATGGTACAGGATGATTATGGTATAGAAAGGAATTTTGATAAAATCGACGTTTATTTTACAGAAAAATCTTGAATACGAAATTAAGTGTTTCCAAAAACATGGATTAAATTAGACGGCTGAGATCTCTGAAAAGTTAGTAGAGAAAGAAATATTTATTTCTTAAAAATTTTAAACTACAATGTGATCAACGACCAAAACGTGAAGAAAACAAGAAAATCTAAAATCCATGTTCCATGTACGAGCGACTATTTTCCTCCGGAAAACAATTTCTTCTTAGCTAATACCACTATATGCATTTGTTTATATCCAAAGAAAAATATTCTTATAAAAAATTATTTTTTAACATTCGTAACGATGACTAAAAAATGTTTTTATCTCGAACATATTGTTATGTAACCATAATCCACACGCTAAAAGAATGTGCTCTTTTAATTAGTACTTCTTCTTTTTTAAAACTGGAGATGCCGTCATATCTCGAATACTGAGGACGTCATAGAAATATGCGTATATCAAAAAATACGCATCTAAAGAAAACAAAATCGACTTGTCCCAGCATTTTTTTTTTGTAAATTATCCAATAACGTCTGAAATCCTTTGTTTCGCCACTGATGCCCAACCCTGTTTATTATCGGGGTTGCAACTCCAAATTCACTATGAACTGAATATTAAAAAACAGTGAATTGTTAAAAATGTTCATTATTTATTTATTTATTTATTTATTTTAAAAATTGTTCTACAGGAAACTTAAATATTTGAGAAACCGTCTTTGAAGAGCTTCTAATCTGGTAACTGGGACGCCATATAACCGAAGCATATTCAAGCTTTGATAGGATAAACGCATAATAATAGTATATTATGCAACGATCATTTAATAACCATTACATGAGAGTTGCATACGCTATTTTTTCTACACCCGATAAATAATCAAGACCTATAAATATTATATTTATATTGGTATTGAACACAATAACAGTAATTACTCGTATTTCTATAAAAAATTCTACAAAATTGTAATTAATGGTATTACTTCAGGTATTGGTATTTCCCTAGATTTTTGCGGTAAAATATTTTGTACTGTATTTTCTGCTTTCTCCGATATGTGTGGAGGAGTCTTCTATATCGCTAATATCAGACATTTTAATATTATAATTATCGAAGTTTAGCTACCTACGAAAATTTAATACGTTTTGACAACTAAAATAATTACATAGGAACCTAGGACAAACGTCAAACAGCATGCTTGATTGAAAAATTGTAGGTTTCTATTGATTAAAAATCTGTATCGTAATGAAAAATCTGTATCATAATGGGTATCATTATGAAACGGATTATGGGCATATAAGTGCATTATTATAATACGGGTGTAGAAAAAGATTATTTAATGTACTTGCATTCTTAAAATCCCGACGTTTCCGAATTATGAATCCGTACATGCGGCTTGCCGCAGTTAATATTCCGTCAATGTGTTAATTGAAGGATAGTGCTGGATTAAAAGTAACGCCCAAATCCACAAAGTTATTCGGTCTGCATAATAGAGTGTTGCCTATACGGTAATTGTAAGCAATTGGATCAGAGCTTAGTGAATAAGACATGACATTACACTTCGAGGGATTCAAATTAAGGTTATTTTCCCGACACCATTCGATAACTCTCAGAAGATTTTCAGATAGTCTTTCACAATCCGTGACGTTCTTAATTGTTATGTAAAATTTGAAGTCGTCGGCGTAAATTAAAGAATCAACATCAACTATATCCACGATGTTATTCACGAAAATGTTAAACAGCAACGAGCCTAGATTTGATCCCTGAGAAACACCGGAGGTGGCAGAATACTGATCAGACTTAAATCCATTTAATTGAACGTATTGTGTTCTGTTGGTGAGATATGATATATGCACAAATATGGGGTAGTTTTGCTGACTTCACCCTATATTTGTATTTTTTTAGACTGGACTGTATGAACATATTTCTGGTTTGGGTATTCAAACTGCGACACCACATTGAGTTTATTACATTATTAATATGTATACGACAAAATAAACAATTTGATGACACGAAAACACAGGTACAATAATGCTACAATACATCAAGTATGAGGTTGCTTGCTTTTCCAACTGTTTTTCTTAACAACACCCCGAGATGATGGGTCCTATGATTGAACGTTTACGTTATCCGTAACGTACATGTTAGGCCGAGTTTTAACAGCAAAGAGACAAATTCGTATGATGTAAAGTCTTTTATAACACATTACTGTTATTTTCCGGCTGTTATGTTCTAATTTAACAGGTTTCCATCATACGAACTTGCCTCGTTACTTTTAAAATTCGGCCTAACATGTACGTTACGGATAACGTAAACGTTCAATCATGGGACCCATTGGGTCCTATGATTGAACGTTTATGTTATCCATAACGTACATGTTAGGTCGAATTTTAACAGTAACGAAGCAAATTTGTATGATGGAAAACTGCTAAATTAGAACATAACAGGCGGAAAATAACAGTAATGTGTTGGAAACCGTTTTTCATCATACGAACTTGCCTAATTACTGTTAAAACTGAGCCTAACATGTACGTTACGGATAACATAAACGTTCAATCATAGGACCCAATAACTCTTAATTCAATTTACCGATAAATAAAAAACACCAGCCGGTTGACGCCAATGAACTGGAGTGGGGTAGGGTTGTGTCGCTGAAGCAGTATCTGTTATTTTTGAAACAGGTTTTCACTTGGAACAGGTATACGTCGAATCACGAAACTGTTCCACGGAACAGTGTTTCGGTGGACGGAGATTTAGTTTATTTTAAATTGCTACTTGCTGTCACAGTCGCAGAGTGCAAATTGCGTGGGACTGGAATAGGTGGTATGCACGTATGCATCGAATCACGAAACAGTTCGACGGAACAGTTGCTTCGGTGGACGGAGACTGTTTATTTTAAATTGCTGCGTTCTGTCACAGTCGCACAGCGCAAATTTATTAATATTAATTACTGTTACTGTGACGACAGTTGCCTGTTGCAGTTACAGACTAGCCAGCAGTAATATTGAAACAGCTTGATATTTATTAAATAATGAATTATAGAATCTGGGATCTGTGTTATTTTTCTTAAACGAAACAAAAATAAAATAAGATTGTATGAAACATACTTATTTGTTTATTCTATAGTGTTTTTAGTTTAGTTTTTTTTTTCAGCAAAAAACATTCATAATAGGTGTAATAATAATTAATAACAACTATTAAGTTGAAATTTGCGTTTTTGCGACTGCTACACTGTGACTGACAGGTACCCTTGAAACAGTTGAAACACTAAAAAATCAAACTGTTCCGTCGACGTAAAACTGTCTTGTCTTAGTTTCGGTATCGTGGTTTCGGTGTTTCTGTATGTGTGGGACTCCGCGCTCGCAAGTCGCAACAAACGCGAAACAACAATCAACGGTTTAAATTGTTGGAACAACTTGGAACTGGAACAGGTTTTTTGAAACAGATATTTTATGGAACTGAAGCAGACCTGTTATTAAAAAGTCACTGTTTTACCCTTCCCTAGAGTGGGGTAGAATGCTTGTCAATAGACTTGAGATGCGACTCTATGGGCAAAGACAGGTTATTTTTCATCTCACTCGGAAGTATTTATAACAACCATTTTCTATTTCACTTTGTTATTGTCTGATCCACCAGCTTGTGGATTGAATAATAACAATATGAAACAGAAAATGGTTATTATAAATACTCCCGAGTGAGATGAGAAATAAAAATGGCTGCGCCCACAGAGTCTCATCTTGTTTTATGATACAATATGCACATTGGCTTTCTACCCCACTCCAGTTCATTGGTTGACGCACACAAAGCGCGGGAAACTCACAAACCACGAGCACACCTTTCTCGCTTTGAGTCAAAATTGCTTCTCGTAGGATCGATTCCACCGTTGTGTTAAACGGAGACTAAAATGACATTGTTAATGTAAAAATGTCATTTTAAACTTCGTACAAACCTCAGACTTTTTCCACACTGACGGTATGGTTTTAGTCCAGATTCAGGTATTTATAAGTACAGTTAAAGGATGAGCCAGTGCTTAAAAGGAAAGCAGAAATATGGTCAGGCCCAGTGGTCCGCTTGGGCTTTACTGATTTTAAAGTATTTAATACCTGGTTTTCTAAAAAGCTATACTCTGTTTTTAAACTAAGAGGAGCGTTTTTCATAGTAAGCAATTGTATTGAAAATCTACAATTATGGATCCTTCTACACTGAGTACTATTAAGGCTAGCAATTCCTAAAAAGCCCTATAAGAAAGGGACGACACCTTATTATTTTACATGCTGATTCTGAAGATGGTTTTGTAAAAAATGCATTATTGGTTTTTGAAGATAAAAAGATGGGAGATTCCGAAGTATTTTAGAAAAAACTAACAACTTTATTACGGATTTTTTAAAATTGATGATTTTTTAACTGAAATGATTAAAAATCTACCTAAATATTCAAGTAAATTTTATTTATTAGAAAAGAATAAAACCATTTACAAAATTGTTATAATATTTAAAACACCATTTACTACTTTAGGGATACATAGGTATGTATGAATAGTTCACTTTAAAAAAATATGTTGACATGTAGTGTTATGAAAATGTTTGTTCCAGTTTTCAAAACAAATTCTGACTCATAGTCCTGTAAACTTTTGAATGCCTTTAGTTGCCCTTTAGCGTCTTAACCATGAGTTAACACTAAATAAGCCATAATATCCACATTACTTATAGGAGAGATACCAGTTACTGTGTGGTCCACTTGTCATTCACTGATTAACTTTTACTTTTTATACCTATAACAAAAAATCCTTAAAAATGTAAACAGACCAGATTTTTATATTTTTTACTAACCTACCTACATCTGGATATTCTATTAACAATTTTCTTAAATATTTAATATCCATTTTAAAAAGATCATAGTTATTCTCAAAAAGTCGATTTCAAAAGCAAGACAAAAGTATTTCTGATATCAATCAACAGCCATATTGAATTTTATTTGACAGTGACAGTTCGTTTTAGACACACATTTCAGATCACAATAGGGGCGTTTGATTTGAAACTCGATCGAGCGAGCGTCGAGGAGACCGAGAAGTGATGACGTCACAATAGAGCATTGAATCAAATCAAATAAAACAGAGTAAAAAACATAACCTCGCTTTTTTGTGATTCTTGTTTCTGGTTTGTATGTTAAAATAGTGAGCAAAAAGTAAAGAAAATGGAAAAACTTTTAATAATAAGGGGTAATGGCCCTGAAATGCAGCATTTATCACAAATGCCCGCTTCGCTCTCATACTCCATGACTGTGATTACCGGTGATTAGATCTGGACAGAAAAAATATATTTTCCAAACACACATTTTGTGTTTTTTTATGATGAATAATTTTAGCTTTAAGACAAAAGCGGCTAAGTAATTTGTTGACTTCTGTCTGGTCTTTAATTTTATGATTCAAATTTGTTTGTAAGTTAATTAAAAAGAGATAGGTAGAGACAAAGACAAATTTCTCCCTCTTCTCGATCTTTCTGCTCTGAGAACATCGAGCTCGCTCTATGTTCTCGCTCTAAAGCGAAACAAACACTTTAGGGATCTCTCGGAGTGTCAATTCAAACACTTTTGAAGCGCTCGGAGATCTCCGATGATC